AACTAATATATAACTGTATGTTAACTAACTGGAATTAAAATTAAAGCTTAAAAAAGTAGCTTTGTAAAAATTATAAATACCTGGGAAAATGGTAATTTAACAACAGAGATGATTATTATTTACACATCAATGTTCTATATTATACAATAACCAGTCACACTAAATCCAAACTTAAGAAATAATATCTACTAAGGAATAATTATTTGCTTGTCACAAGTGTCTTTACGTGTACTTCAGTGTTCTTTTGAAATAGGGAGCACCCCTTGCATATTTAAGAAGTAACTGAATTGACAACATATTATTCACATATTTGTTTTCCAGGAAGATAGTCTCTTTCAAGTGAGATTCTCTAGAATGTACATAAACAACTTTGTTCCAGAAAAGTCAGCTGAGGAGTGTTTTAAGTGGTGGTTTCACTGTTCAATAAAACATTGTTCATAATCTTGTTGATGCAAAACCATGAGGAAGGAAATGTGTTCCGGAATGAAGGCCAACATTTAAAGAGTTGAGGGCAGTCTGGTTAGTCATGTGGCTGGGATTTTAAAAAGGAAGAGGAAGTTACATAATTCAACAGAGCAAGTGACCTGTAAGTGGTCAACTTTTTTGTCTTTATGGGAAAATTAAACCTTTAGAAATAGCAAGAATGCTAATGAGGAGAGTACTATTCATTATTAGTATTTCAAGAACCTTAAAAAGACAAAGTTCTCAGGTATTAAAATTGAATAAAAATATGTCATAATCATTTTTATCTTTACTCCTCCCCATAAGCAACATTATAAATCAGGAAGAGATCCAAGAGGCAATTTTTAAATAAGAGAATTATACTTTAGGCATTGCATGGAATATAAAGAGATTTTAATATATAGTAATATCTTTGATTAGGCATACCCTACCATATCATTGTTAGGGTATATTCATATTTGTGGATCTGTTTTTGTACCAAACCACTCAAAGCCCAAAGAAAGTTAACATATTCTGGAAAATGACTACATTATTGCCTGTAGCTACCCTGTGATCATGGTTTGGGCCTAAACTAATCAACAATATGGTGATCCTACTATGTCTACATAAATATTATTCAAAGATGAGTCATGTAAAGTGATATGATTATATTTTTTTCTTGGTCAATTTGCCTCATTTTTTCCCACTGGTCTGTACTCTGATTTCTTATGAATTCATCTCCCTTCTCCCAGAAGCAGGAATCTTTTGCCATGTTCAGATACATTACTTTGCTTGGAGACACTCCACCTAGAGCCTGCTATCATCCTTTGCAACGGTGTTCCCCCTCTCTGGTCCTGTTACCTAGCTGCCACCGCAGGCTCTGCCTTCAACAACATCTTTCAACAATGTCTGCCTCTTACTGGTGCGGAAGCCTCTGCATTATGGGAAACTTCTTGCCCCCTTTGCCTTGTTATATTCTTAAGTTTGTGCAGAAAATGCACATTTAATTTGTCACTTCCTGTCACTTCCTGTCAAAGAGAGCATGAGAGATAAACTTTATGATTGATTCTTTATAGGATATACAAAAAAGTCTTCATTCTATCACACTTGAAATGGTCTTGTTTGGCTCGGTATAGACTTTTTAGTTAGAAATCACTTTCCCTTAGAATTTTGAAGATATGGCTCCATTGTTCTCTAGCTTCAAGCACTTCTGTTGGGAAGTCCAATCCATTCTGATTCTCAGTCATGAGCACAGGACATGTTTCTTCTACCTGGGAGCCTATGCATGAACTCAGTCTTCAATGCCCTCTCCTCCTTAGACATTGGGAACCAGGGGCTGAAAGTGCCAACTCTCTAATCACAAGCTTGGTCTCTCTGGCAACCAGCCTCCATCATGAAACTATCTAGGGCTCCTTCCCCATCCAGCCATTAGCCACCTCATTAGCATAACTAGTCATTAGCATAACAAGGCACATATCACTCATGAAACTTAAAGGGTTTCTGAAGCTCTGATCTAGGATCTGGGGACAAATACTAAATATATATATATACACACTACATACTGTCCTATGGCTTTTGACCAATGCAAAGTGTCATTGTCTACCATTATGGTATCATACAAAACCACCTGTGTTTTACCCACTTATCCTTCTTGTTATTCCCTAAACTTCTGGCGGCTAATATTTACTGCCTCGGTAATTGTACTTTTTCCATAATGCCATATAGTTAGAATCATACAATATGTAGGCTTTTTAGACTGGCTGCTTGAATTGCTATGTGAAGGTTAGGTTTCCCCTACATGTTTGCATGACTTGATAGCTCATTTCTTTTTATTGCTGAATAATATTCCATTCTATGGATGTGCCACAGTTCATCTATCCATTTCACTTATTGAAAGATACCATGTTTGCTTCCGGTTTTGGGCAATTATGAATAAAGCAGCTCTAAATATTCACGTGTAGGGTTCTGCATGGGCATAAGTTTTCCACTCATTTGAGCAAATATCCACAAGTGTGATAACTGGTTCATATACCAAGACTATGGTGATCTGTGTAAGAATATCCAAATGGCCTTCCGAAGTAGATGAACCATTTGGCACTCTCTCTAACAATAAATAAGCATTCTTGACGCTCCGTGTCCTCACTGGCATTGGGTGTTGTCGGTAATTTGGATTTTAGGCTTTCTAATGGGTCTCTAGTGCTATTTCATTGTTGTTTCAATTTGCATTTCCCTAATGTCCTAGGCTATTGAGTCTCTTATCATTCACTTACTTGCCATTTACATATCTTATTTGGTGAAGTGTCTGTTTCAGATCTTTTGCCCAGTTTTAAATTGGGTTGTTTTCCTATTATTGAGGCTTAGGTGTTCTTTCACTATTTTGGATACCAGCCCTTCATCAGATATGTATTTTGCAAATATTTTCTCATAGTTTGTAGCTTGTCTTTTCCTTTTCTAAAGGGTCTTTCACCAAGAAGTTTTCAATTTTTATGAGGTCTAACTTGTCAATTCATTCTTACATGGATTATCTTTTGGTGTTGTATCTAAAAACTTAGGACCAAACCCAAGGCCACCTAAATTTTCTCCAATGTTATTTTCCAGAAGTTTAAAGTTTTACGTTTTAAATTTAGGTCTATGATCCATTTCAATTTAAGTTTTGCAAAAGGTGTAAGGTCTATGTCCAAAAAATTTTTCCTTTGTCAAGTGGAAGTGCAGTTGTTGAAGCGCCATTTAAAATTTCTTTTTAAATTTTAGAGCACAAGCAAGAGGAGGGGCAGAAAGAGAGATAGAGAGAGAGAGAGAATCCAAAACAGGCTCTAAGCTGTCAGCATGAAGCCCAACTCAGGGCTCAAACCCATGAACCGGGAGATCATGAGATGAGCCAAAGTCAGCTGCTTAATCAACTGAGCCACCCAGGCGCCCCTTCCAACACCATTTGCTGAAAAGACAATTAGCACCTTTGGCAAAGATCCATTGAACTTATATATGTGAGTCTATTCCTGGCTGTTTTCTGTTCCACTTTCATCTATTTTTCTAGTCTTTTGACGATACTACACTGTCCTGATTACTGTAGCTTTACAGTAAGTTTTGATATCACGCACTGTCAGACCTGTGACTCTTCCTCTTCTTTGATATTATTGGCTCTCCTGGGACTTTTGTCTTTCCATAAAAACTTTAGGATTAGCTTGTTGATGTCCAAAAAATAACTTGCTGTGACTCTGACATCATATCAAATTTACTGAGTTGGGAAACACTGAAATCTTACAATATTCAATCTTCCCATTCACAAACATGGAAAATATTTCCGTCTATTTGGATCTTCTTTCATCAGAATTTTATAGTTCTCCTCATATAGATTTTGTACGCATTATGTTAGATTTACACCCAAGTATTTCATTTTTTGTGCTAGTGTAAGTGATATGATGTCTAATTTCAAATCCCAATTGTTCATTGCTGTAAAACATAAAAGCAATAGGCTTTTGTGCATATTAACCTTGTATCCTGCAGGTTTGTTATAATTGCTTACGTTTTAGGGGGTTTCCTTGGTTAATTTTTCAAATTTTCTACATAATCATGTCACGTGTTTATTATTACGAAACAGATAGATTTCCTCCTTACCAATCTATTGCCTCATTATTTTTAAATGTGTTTCATTAGCTAGACCATAAACTCTCTGAGGGCAAGTTTTCTCTCCTTTACTGACCAACTCTTTTATGCTCAGATTTTTATTAGTTTTACCAGAGATGAAAGTATTGTGGCACTAAATAACTTGGCTAGCAATAAAACGCTTCTAGGTTAATGCTATGTTGCCAAGTACTCTGCTCCTCTACGGGAATACGGCAGGTAACTTGGTGCCTCAGTTTCTCCGTCGCTAACAGGGATTAGTTCCGTACAGACTGATGTAATTGATGGACTGAAGACCACAGACGGCAGGTTCTTTGGACAGTGCCCGGAACACCGCCCTCAGGACACACGGTTTTTAGTCCCTGCATTCAGGTACGGGTTTCCACCTTCACGCAGCGCCACACACAACCGTGAACGCCACTGAACTTTCGCTCAGACGGACAAAGAGTAAGAAAAGCCAGAGAAAGAAGCGGTAACAAGGAGGGCAGGCGTTGCGAAGGGTAAACGGAAGCGAAGCTTCTAAGCCTGTGAGCGGCGAGGTGAGGCGAGCGGGGAGAGACGAGCAGGACTCCGGCGGCGGAAGCCCACACGGCGCCGGCCAGGACGTCTCCAAACGGTGCGTTCTCTTCAGGACGCCGTCCGGACTGGAGGCGACGCGAACCAAACGCGCTGAGCGCGACGGACGCAGCAGACAGCAGGGGGCCCCGGTCCCCGCCGCTCTGCCCGTCGGGACGGTGAAGGCGGGAAGCGTAATCCGCCGCAGCGGGTGGGCCGCCGGACGCGCCCGCGTCCCCGCGGGAGCCCGAGCAGCCCCCGCCGCGCCCCGCGCCCCGCCCCCCGCCGCAGCCCCGTTACCATAGGAACTGGACCACCTGACCAGGGGCCGCGCGCCTGCGCGGGCGGAAGGCGGGGGCGGCACCGTGACGCGCCTCGCGGGCGGTCCTCGGGCGCGCGCCGCTCTGCTCTCTCCGCGTCTCGGAAGTCGCTGCCAGTTACCGAGGCGGCGGCGACGAAGACGACGAGCGGGTCCTTGTGGGCCAGGTGAGCAGCCTGGGTGGGGAGAGACGGGTGCCCGAGCCGCGTCCCGGGCGCCGGCACTGGGCGCGGGGCCGAGGGGGGCCCCGGGTCACCTAGCGGAGAGCGTCTGGGTCACGGCGGTTTTCGAGAATCGGCGGCGCCGCCCTCCCCTCAGGGGTCCCCGCGCCCCTCCTTCCGCCCCGCGGGGCCCGGGGCGAAAGTTTGCGCGGGCGGCGCGCTCTGCCTTGCCCGGGACCCGGTCGGTCTCGGGGCTCCGCCTGCGAGCGGGGCGAGGGGGCGGGGGTCGGTGGGGGGCTGGCCGGCGGCGGCGGGGTTAGGGACGAGCCCTTGAGGCCCGGCCGGCTCGGCGACGCCGCCTGCGCTCGGGCTGCGGGTTCTGGTCCCTCCTGGCCGAGCTCCCTGGGGACCGGGGCGGGCCGAGCCGGGCTGTGGACTGTACTCGGTCACCTTCCTGGGTGGCTGGGTCGGAACGCCCTGGATGTCGGAGGAGGAAGGAGGTGTTGGTTGAGGGGGGCCGGGCCTTGACTTTGTGGAAGGGGGCGGGGAGAGGTTAGGCGCCGCGCGTATTTCTGGAGAAGTTGGAGGAACGGGAGAAACGTTCCAGCTGGGTGTGTTCGGAGGGAGCCAGCCCTCGAGACGGCATGACTCATAGTTTTCATTTGAGGATTTCCTTGTAATAACGGGAAAGTGAGGGATCTGTGGATGTGGAAAGTTTCCTGTGCGCTAAAGTGGAGTTAATTAATCGTGGAGCCTTCCCGCCTGCCGGTTTTCGGAAGGGATTTCTAGGATGTCTCGTCTGCGTGTACTGTCTGCACACGCGTTTATCGTGATCTCGTTCCTTGTGCAAGCACACGGCTGTGGTTTACCAAATTCTCAACATCTGTTTGTTTGGGGGGGCACCTGGGTGTGTCAGCCCGTTAATCGTGGGACACCTGATTTGCGCTCAGGTCGTGATCTCTGTTGGTGGGAACAAGCCCCTGGCCCTGCTGCGTGCGGACGGCGGGGAGGCTGCTTGGGATTCTCCCTCCCCCTCTCTCTGCCCCTCCCCCACTTGGGCACTCCTTGCTCTTCTTCCTAAATAAATACATTAATTAAACTTAAAAATTTTTAAATCTGCTTGTTAGAGAAAACAGTTGATCAAAAAGGAAAAAGTTACCTTGACAGCAGCTGCGGGCTGTTAGCTGTCTCTCCAGTATATGTAAGCGATTAGTTCAGATTTTTCCAATCTTTAGCTTTTCTGTTGAGGGCAAACAGTAAAGAAGTTTTGTTTTGTTTTGTTTTTAATATTTTCTGTTACCCATTTAGTTCTAACAGCTTTTGTTCGTTAAATAGTACGTAAATATTATGGATCAAGTGGTTTTTGCCCCAGAATGAAATGCTCGGGGAATAGTCCGTTAAAATCCAGATTTAACTTTGACAACGTTAATTTTTAGTTATTTTGAGCATTAAAAGGATATAAAAGTCATGACCAGAAGAGGATGAACTTACTAGGAGTTGGCAGTTGAATGTACTCTTTAATAGAGCCCTTCCTTAAATTAAACATGAGTCAGCTAGTTTCTTTCCTGTTTTTGCCAGATTTAGGTACCGTTTTTAGGTGGTAAATGCCAAGATTTTCTTTAAAAAAAAAAAGTGTCCCCTGAACTACTTTATTTTTAAAAGATTATTTTGAGAGAGACAGACATTGTGAGTGGGAGAGGGGCAGAGGGAGGTGGAAGAGAATCCCAAGCGGACCCTGCACCGCCAGCACAGAGCCCAGGTCAGGGCCTGAAACCACGAAACTGAAATCGTGGCCTGAGTTGAAACCAAGAGTCAAAACTTTAACCAGCTGAGCCACCCAGGGGCCCCTTTTCTTGAGCTTTCGATTATAGCCATTCTGATAGGTGGTAGGTGATGTCGTAGTTTTGATTTGCACTTCCCTATTGAGAGTGATGTGGACTGTCTTTTCATGGGTCTGATGGCCATCTGGAAGTCTCGGTTGGAGAAACGTCTGTTCACGTCTTTTGTCCATTTTTTTAATCGGATCATTTGTTCTTTGGGCTTTGAGTTGTATGAGTTCTTTATGTGTTTTGGATACTAATTTTTTTTTTTATCAGATCTGTCATTTGCAAATATCTTTTCCCATTCAATAGGTTGCCTTTTAGTTTTGTTGATCATTTCTTATGCTGTACAAAGACTCTTTGTTTTGATATAGTCCGGATAGTTAATTTTTGCTTTCGGTTCCTTTGCCTCTGGAGACGTATCTAGAAAAATATTGCTATAGCCCATGTTAGAAACCATTACTGCTTGGGCTGTCTTCTAGGATTTTTATGGTTCAAGTCTCACATTTAGGTCTTTAATCCGTTTTGAGTTTATTTTGTGTGTGTGGTGTAAGAAAGTGATTCCGTTTCATTCTTTAGAATGTGTCTGATCAGTTTTCCCTCAGTACTTGTTTTTTGTTTTTGTTTTTACAGCAGCTGTCCTAATGGGTGTGAGGTGGTATCTCCTCGTTTTGATTTGCATTTTTGTAATGATTAATGATGTTGAGCATCTTTGCATGTGTTTATGGCCATTCTTGTATCTTATTTGTAGAAATGTCTCTTGAAGCCCTTTGCTAGTTTTGTTGGCTTTTTGTTGAGTTTTAGTAGTTCTCTAAATATTCTTGGTATTAATCCCTTACCGGATATATGATTTACAAATATTTTCTCGCATTTTATGTGTTGGCTTTTTTGCTCTGTTGATGGCATCTTTTGATGTACAAAATCTTAAAAGTTCATGAAGTCTGATGTGTATATTTTCTTTTGTTACCTGTGCCTTGATATCATGTCCAGAAAATTACTGCCATATCCAAATTCATGAGTCTTTTGTCCTATGTTTTCTTCTAAGAGTTTTATTGTTTTAGTTCTTAAATTTAGGTCCTTTATCCATTTTGAGTTAATTTTTGTAAATGGTGTTAGGTAAGGATTCACCTTTATGCATTAGCACACAGAGATCTAATTTTCCCAGCACCATTTGTTGAAAAGTCTTTTACTCAGTGAATGATCTTCGCACTCTTGTCAAAAATCTTATGACCATATATTTGAAGGTTTATTTCTAGGCTTTCTATTCATTTCCATTGATCTGTATGCTATTTTGCTGATACCCTGCTGTTTTGATTACTGTAGCCTTATAGTAAGTTTTGAAATCAGGAAGTGTGTCTTCACTTTTGTCCTTTTTCAAGATTGTTTTGGATATTTGAGTCCCTTGAGATTCCATATGAATGTTAGGATGGGTTTTTCTATTCCTGAAAAATATTCATTTGTGATTTTGATAGGGATTGCATTAAATCTTGAGATCACTTTGGATGATATTGACATTTTAAGAATATTAAGTCTACCAATCCATGAACATGGGATGTGTTTCATTTTATTTATATCCTCTTTGATTTCTTTCAGCAGTGTTTTGTAGTTTTCATTGTACAGTCTTTCATCTCTTGATTGACAAATTAATTAAATTGCTAAGTATTTTATTCTTTTTGATGCTATTGTAAGACAATAACAATCTTCAGATTGTTCATTTTTCATGTATAGGAATGTAGATAATTTTTGTGCAGTGACTGTATCTTGCTACATTGCTGAATTTATTCTAACAGCTTTTTCTTGTGTGTGGAGTCTTTAGAGGTTTTTATACCCTACACATATACATCATATAATATGCACAGATCATTTTCCTTCTTTTTCAGTTTGGATGCCTTTTATTTCTTATTTTTGTCTAATTGCTGTCCTAGAACTTCCAGTACTATGTTGAATAGAAATGGAAAAAGTGGGTTTCCTTGCCTTGTTCCTCATCTCAGAGGAAAAACATTCAGTCTTTCACCACTGACTATGGTGTTTGGTGTTGGGTTTTCATGTATGGCTTTTAATAATGGATGTAGTTTTCTTCTATTCCTAATTTGGTGAGTGTTTTTATCAGGAAAGCCTGTCGAATTTTATCAAATTTTTTTTTTTTTTTTTACTGCATCAGTTGAGATGATCATGTTTTTTTTTTTCTCCTCATTTTGTTGATGTGACCTATTACATTCATTAGTTTTGGTATGTTGAACCATCCTTGGATTCCAAGAAAAAAAATCCCACTTATTGAAAGGTGTATAATCCTTTAATGTGCTGTTGAATTTCATTTGCTTGTATTTTGAGGATTTTTGCATCAGTTTTCATAAGGAATGTTGGTCTGTAGTTTTCTTTTTTGGAGTGACTGTCTGGCTTTGATATCAAATTAATGATGTCCTCAGAGAATGAGTTAAGAAGTGTTTCCTTCTCTTCAGTTTTGAGAAGGACTGGATTTCCTTTTTAAATGTTTAGAATTCACCAATGAAGCTTCAGGGTTAGGGCTTTTATTTGTTGAGAGATATGAGATTACTGATTTAGTCTTCTCACCTGTTACAGGTATATTCAAATTTTGAATTTAATTGTGATTTAGTTTTGGTAGGCTTTTATTTTTGCAGAATCAATGTTAATAGTCCCATTTTTTGATTTTAGTATTTTGAGTTTTCTCTGTTTTTTAGTCTGTCTAGCAAAAGGTTTGTAAGTTTTGTTGATTTTCTTCAAAGAACCAACTTTCTGGTTCATTGATTTTTTTTCTTTTCCCCCTCCCATTTTTTGAGTTCTCTAGTTCACTTATCTCTATTCTGATCTTTATGATTTCTTTACTTCTGCTAGCTTTGGGTTTAGTTTGTACTTCTTTTTTTAGTTCTTTAAGTTCCCTCTGACTTGTAACACATATGTTAGTATATTTTATACACTGCTCTAAATCAGTTAATGATATTTTAGACCTCTTTCAATGTTAACGTATATATAGAACTTCCTCCTTAGAAGTCTTTTGCTAATGCAGTTGATGCTTCAATGAATAAGTTTTTACATAAGTCATTCTTTATATGCAAATATTTTTGTGGACTGAAGACGTGAAGTGGTATTGCACTCTGTTCATAATTTTGGTAGATACTGCAAATTTCTGTCTGGAAATTGCCCTAGTTTACACTTCCACTAATAATG